GACCAAAGCCCCAGGACACCACTCGCAGTCCTGCCTCTAACAGAGGGGAGGTCACCATCGCCTCAGTTACATCAGCTGTAAAATGGGGTGCCACCTGTTCTGTCCATCACAGGGAATTCTTATGGGAATTAAGTGAGATAATGGTTGTAAACTGCTCTGCAAAGAAAAGATGTAGTGCAAATGTCACTACAAAACTGTGAGTGAATATTACTATTCATAGGAATAATTAACATTTTTGGATTATTTGCTATGTGCTTAGCTGTGAATTAAATGCTTTCCTTCTATTTTCTCAGTTAGTCCCACCATAACCCTACAAGATAAGTACTATTATTATCTCTACTTTACAGATGGGGAAACTGAGGCACAGAGCACTTATAGGAGCCCAAGCTGGGGTGTAAACTCAGACAGCCTGACTCCAGAGCCCAAACCCCAACCCAAGGCCCCTCCCTTAACAATCAGGTTGGGGTAGCATGAGACAACCTAGTCTCCTTTCAAGTCTGATATCTCATGACTCTAATTATATCCTCATCATCTCTAAAGGAGGCAACTCTCCCATTACATAGGCTAGCAAATAGAGGCCCAGAGGGCCAGCCAGTATCACACAGCAGATCAGAGGGAAAGTCGGGACTGTGGGTTTCAGAAAGCAGGAGGTGGGTTCTCAGCTCAGACTGCAGGTTCCATCCATCCCTGGGTGGGTCCAGGAGTCCCACGGATAGGTGCCCCCGCTCCCCAGGCAGCCCTACCCTGGCAAGTGTCCCAATGCCCTGGGGGGAGACAGGCGGAGGCTCCATCCCCCAGTTAGTGGGGGAAGGAGACACCGCTGGGCTTTCCCACCTCGGTGCTGTACTTGTAGCTGTCAACACGACGACGCCCGGGCCGGCCCTGCCAAGCCTGCTGTCAGGGAGGAGACCCCCAGGGGCAGGGGCTGAGCTCCACCCACACGGCCCACCCTACACCTTCCCCAGCTCCCACAGCTCATCCCACTCAATGTTCGGAGCCCTGCGGCAGCTGCAGACAGCAGTCCTAGGGCTCAGATACTCCTCTCCCCGAGAGAGGCTTGTACTCTGGCTGGTGTGCATCCCCACTCCTAAGCCCCAGAGCTCAGAGCCAGAAGCCAGGTTGTCACCCCCCTACCTGGCCTCAGCCTATCTACAGGTCTCCTCCTAGCCCCACCAGGAGTCCTGTCTCTGCATCAAACTTGAGGCTCCTGGAACAAAAGGACCATCTTCGCCTATAGTGCAGGGGTCCCCTGAGGGCAACAGTGATGCCTCCTCGTTATACTGTAAGTTCACTGAGGGCAAGGACCACACAGGTGGGCAGAGTCTATGCTTCCCCCTCTGTACTAGAAGTTCAAGGAATAGGAATCTGCCTCCCTCTCAGATGGGGGCACCCTGAAGTAGCTGTGCCTCCTCCCTCAAAGGGGAGGCCCCCTAAAGTCTGTCTCCTTTGGCCCTGACTTCCCTCCAGTGTCCAGGCTGGTTTTCTGCTGAGATATTTCAATGTAATAGTTTCCATGAAATAGTCCCCAGGGATCCTGACCTTGGCTCTGGGGCACCTGAGTGTAGGTGGTGGTCTTCTTGAGCGTGTACTGGCGCCCGCAGGCCTCATCCTCCTCCATGATGCCCTTGCTACTGACCGAGGGCACACAGGTGTTGGCCCCCGAGTGGATGCCAGAGTCATAGGTGTATGTCTGTTGCCACTCAGTCACCTTGATGGGTTGTTCGATCAGGTTCATCACCTCCATGGTGGCTGCTGGGGACACAAAGGAGGGGCAGGAAATCAGCTGGCTCCCATGAGGCATCCCATCATCTGGCCCAGCCCCCAGCTTCAGCCCATCCGCAGGCCCAGGGAGGGACTGCCCACAGTAGGATACCCAGGTGTGAGTCCTGGGCTTCGACCTCTGACCTCCAGCCTAGGGTGCAGTGAACCCCATGGGGAGTGGGGCAGTAAGAGCAGTTACCACAACCCAGCCCTTGGCAGGCTCACCTTGCCGTCCCTGCCCAATGCTCCCAGAGCAGGAGGCACTCGGGGCCTCCGGCAGCTTCTGGGGTTCTGCAGACCCACCCCCACGCACTGGGGCTCCCTGGGAAAGTCTGTGGTGAGGCAGCAGCACTCTGAGCATTGGACAGGAAACTGGGTGGGGCAGGGAAGCAGTCAGACAGGTTTCTCTGGAGAGCCCCGGAGGCTGCTGGGAGAAGTCCAAGGCTCCCTTGGAGACTCTGGGATCCAGGATCTTTTCTGAAGATGGGGCAGGATCACAAGTGATCCCAGAGGCCCGAGCCCTAAGACCCCTGTCTCTCCAGCACCCCAGTTCCCGCCAGGCTTTTCCAGAATTCCGTGCCCCACTGACCGGTTCAAATAACAGCCACATACCAATTCACCTCTCCGCAGAGCCCAGCCCTCGTTTGCAAAATGGGGTAACAGCACCTCCCTCGCAGGTTGTTGGGAGGCCCAGATTGGTGAAGGACCCAGCCTGGTGCCTGGCACATAGTAGGTGCTCCGTGTTGGCGGCCACGGCCATGTATCAGGGCTTCCTCTCCCTCAGGGATGTTTTCCCATTTCTAGTCTTCCTAGAACCCAGGCTAGAGATGAGGGGTGGGGCAGGCCTCAGGAGGGGGTCACTGCTTTTTAGGCACCCCTCCTGCTCTTTGCAGGGACTTGGGGACCCTTGAGGTTAATGAATCGCTGGCCCTACTCTGTTCCAGGGTGGTGAATTCCCACTTGGCCCACTTGCCTTCCCTGCCTTGGGAGCTGATTCGGGAGGAGAGGCGAGGCAAGGCGTGCTCTGGTTGAGGGCCGGCCTTGTGCCAAAGCTTTCACTGATGCCTCAGCCCCACAAGCGGGTTTTGAAGCATATGCTCTGCCCCCGCCCCATTTACACACGGGGAAACTGAGGCTCCCCAGGTGAGGTGGCACAGTGGAGAAATGGCAGAGCTGGGACCAGGCACGGGCCTGAGTGACCCCCAAGTCTGTGGCCTGTGCACACACAGTGTGGCCTCAGACAGCAAGCAGACCACGGGCCGGTCCACCCATGACAGTGGACAGTACTCAGCACCTCAAACCCATGGTCCCGTCGTGATGGGGGACCGGGCGAGGCCAAGGGTGGTTCAGCTGGTTTAGCCTGACCCCACCCTAGGAACAAAGATCACCAGGGATACGTCTTCCCAGCGCTACCTCGAGGAGGAGGCTGACTGAGCCTTCGGGCCTCCCTGCCTTTTATGGCGACATGGGCTCCTTCCCTGCCTGTGAGCGCACCTGGAGCAGGCAGAGGCAGGAGCCAGCCCAGCTCCCAGCCGCCTCCTCCTCTCCTCCCTTCACCCCGAGTGACTCAGAGTTTCGGGCTGACAAACAGAAGCAGGCCCAGAACACCAGACAGCAGGCTCCGTGCCACCAGATGCACCCAGCTGCTTCCCAGGCCTCGGCCAAGTGTGGCTATTTCAGGAGGAGCCCCCTCCCCCGCCCCCACCCTAACCACACACCGCCCAGCACTCCTGCCTTCCGGGGTGGGAGACAGAAAGAAGAGAGAAGTTTGGAGGAGCAAGCCTGTCACTGAGCCGCCATGGGGAGGAGAAACCTCCAGGGAGGGGGCAGGGGACATCCAAGCTCTGCAGAAAGAAGGTGAAACTGTATCAGGATATGCAGTTGCGTTAACCCTGTAAATGCCACCACGCGGGGGCAGAGGGCTGAGCGGACATCTGGGCACTGAATCTCCGTCGCTCCGGACAAACTGGAAATCTCCAGTCCTGATCAGGAAGAATACCCCATCTGAGCCAGAAAGAGCCCCTCCCCAGCAGAGATCGCAGCCTACCCCTGCAGCTTCTGGGCCCAGGCAGGGGGTCGCGGGCCTCACCCTGAACCTCAGGAATCAAACACCCTTCCCTCGCCACCCCCATATCCACCGGGACCACCAAAGTCAAGGCTGGCCATAGGTGGGGCGTTTTGCCAGCAGGCCTCTCACCACCCCTCCCAGCTCAGGCTTGGAGCCAAGAGAAGCTGAGGGCTGGGCAGCTGCCCAGGGCCAGAGAGGGGCCACACGGAGGTCAAAGGATCCATGGGGGAGGGGACACTCAGCTGCTTTTACTATCAAATGAGTCTCATGCTTGCCTCAAGGCTACCGGGCAGGCATTTTATTATTCCCAATTTCCAGCTGAGAAGACTAAGGCACCACACTGAGAAAATGGCAGTGTTCCGCTCAAATCCAGGCCTGCCTCACTGCACACCAGCCGGCCCACTCAACAGGGCAGCTCCCCTCGCTCCTAACAAGGGACCTAGGGAGAGAGGGACACCCTGCAGTCAAGGGGGGGCAGCCAGGCCCAGGTGTAGAAGAGAAGGCGGCCCAGCTGATCTGGGAGGAACGATGATCCCTAAGATTCTGGGCATAAGGGACCCCGCTTCCCACAACCAACGAGAAGGCCGAGTGGGTGGGCAAGGTGAGAGTCGGAACACAGTTCAGAGCGGACACACTCCAGAACTCTTCTGGAGGAAAGGATCCGGGGAGAGAGAGCTACTCCGGGCAGGACAGTCAACCCGCCCCACCTTTCTCCTCACCGACTCCCAGGAGAGGCGGAGGAATTCTCCCACAAGAAGCAAAAGTGCCGCTTTGGCAGTTCCCAGGGCGGAGGGGGCCGCACCCAGCCTGGTGTCGCCCCTCTCCGCCCTGGACCTGGAGTGAGACCCGCCACAATGCCCCTTGACAGAGCCAGGGTGGAAGTGGGTGAGACAGACATGGCCCTGCCCACGCACTCAGGCCAGAGATGGGCAGCGCCAGACACAGGGCGGTTTTCTGAGTTGCATGGGGGGCCTTTGTTGAGCAGCACGATCTATTGTTGGCCACACAGGAGGCCGAGAAGCCGGCTCAGAGGTCACAGGGTGGGGTGGGGACAGTACAAGGGGCAGGAAGAGAAGCCTGGGCCCTGGATGGGGAGTGCAAAGGAGCCTCCCTCCACTGGTCTACGCAGGGTAGGAATCTGCAAGCAAGCTTTGGACACACCCTGCCCTTCATTCCTGCTTCCTCCCCAGCATGGCCAACCCAGCAGGCCAGCAGTAGGCACTCTAAGTCCAACACGGTCCCAGTCCCGGCAGAGTGTGGTCCAGTCCGGGCATTAAAAACAACTGCCAGCGGCATGATCTCACAGTTCGAGAGTTGGAGCTCCCTGTTGGGCTCTGTGCTAACAGCTCAGAGCCTGATTCCTGCCAAGGCAGGAAGCTGTGACTCCTTCTCTCTCTGCCCCTCCCCCACTCACACTGTCTCCCAAAAAATAAATAAATGTTAAAAAGTAAAAATACCAATAAAAATAAAAATAAATAACTGCCACCGGGGCGCCTGGCTGGCTTTCAGTGGAGCATGCGACTCTTGATCTCAGGGTTGTGGGTTCGAGCCCCACTTAGGGTGTAGAGATTGCTTACAAATAAAATCTTTTAGGGGTGCCGGGGGGGCTCAGTTAGTTGAGCATCTGACTCTGGCTCAGGTCATGATCTCACAGTTCGTGACTTCAGGCCCTGCATCGGGCTCTATGCTGACAGTGCAGAGCCCTCTTTGGATCCTCGGTCCCCCTTTCTCTCTGCCCCTCCCCTGCTTGCACTCTCTCTCTCAAAAATAATCATTAAAAAAAACAAAAAAGAAAGAAACCTCTTTTAAAAAATGTTTAAAGAAAATTTGAAAACAAAAAACTGCCACCAGAGCTACCTCAGGCCCCTGCCACCACCAGCACCGCCATCGGGGTTGGGCTGGGCTGGGCTGCAGGATGCCAAGTGTCACTAAAAGACCTGGGAACGAGGATAGGAATGGGCCGCCCAAGAAGCGTGCTGGAAGCAGGCTTAGACACACTGCACGAGGGAGCTAGAAGTGCAGGCAGAGCCCTCCAGAAGCTCCTTGGGCCAGGGGCCAGCATCCTATGCAAACTCCGATCATGGGCTCAGACAGTGACAGAGGAAGGGGGCTATGGGTAGGGCAGGAGAGCATGTGAGTCAGGGAAGGGGATCCATCCATCTGGCTGTGTGCCCATGGGCAAGTCGCCCAATTTCCTTAAGCCTCATATTCCTCATCTGCAAAGTAGAGATGATCAAGCCGCCCCTTTCTTCAGACCGTATGTGGATCGTGGATCTAACACAGCCATGACCATGGAAGCCCTCTGTTGGCGGTCAAGACCCAGGGAAGCCTTCTTCTATTAGCAAAGCAAAGAAATGGCAGAGGAGGAGGCCAGCAGAGTCGGGCCTGCTTTTGGGGACCTGGGAGCCAGGACCCAGGGAGATCTGCCTCCCAACCCTAAGCCAGAGCCCCGGGGTGGGGTTGGGGGGCTGGGTAGGAGGAGTTATATCCGGTCTGGGAGAGGAGGCCAGGTGGAGACACTGCTCTGCCCTCTCCCCTCTCCCCGGTCACATGTGCTGCTTCCTGCAGCCAGGGGCGGTGAAGCCAGTGAGGCCTGGACATTCCCCACATAGCAGCCCCAGGAGAGGCTGGGCTGAGCAGGGTCACAGCCCCCACCCTTCCTCACTGTCTCTGACTCCAGCAGAGATTTGACCAGCCGTCCCAAGCAGACAGAAGCAGACCCCAGAAAAGGCCAGAGACAGACATGACTGCTTCCCTTGTGAGCCCTGTCTACCTCATCGGGCTGGGACTTCTCAACTAGGCCTCTCCCCTCAGACTAGGGACTCCAGGAGGAAACACCCCACCAGACTAGAGGTTCCTTAACAGAGACTGCGGTCTCTCCTTTCAGAATGGTCGTCCCAAGCTGGCAGAGACCGAAATGGGT